GTTGGCTCCATCAAGACCGTCCTCGGCCACACCGAGGGCACCGCCGGCATCGCCGGCATCCTCAAGGCAGCGTGGGCGCTGAAGAACGCCACCATACCGCCCAATCTCCTGTTCAACGAGCTGAGCGCCGCGGTGGCGCCCTATTACAAGGACCTGGCGATATGTCGCGAGGCCATCCCTTGGCCCACGCTGCCAGAGTCGCAGCCCCGGAGAGCCAGCGTGAACAGCTTCGGTTTTGGGGGCACAAACGCGCATGCGATTCTAGAGAGCTACGAAGCGCCCCCAGACTCGCGCGCGGGCGCCGAGCAGGGGTCGCTCTTTGCTCCCTTTATCTTCTCCGCGTCTTCAGAATACGATCTCCGCGCCAACCTGCAGGCGTTTGCTTCCTACCTAGAACAACACCCTTATCTAGCCGTGCACGACATCTCCTACACCCTGCGGCACCGCAGGTCCGTCTTGCCGCACAGGGTTGCGTTCCCGGCCGGATCTATAGCGTCTCTGCGGGCTAGCATTGTGGCCGAGCTGGAGAGCACAGACACTCCCGTCGGTTTCAGGACGCTCGTGAAGAGCGGCCGATCTGGACGCGTCCTGGGCGTGTTCACAGGTCAGGGTGCCCAGTATGCGCGGATGGGCTCTAAGCTCCTGGAACAGTCTCCCTTGGCGCAGAACACCATCAGGAAGCTCCAGGGACATCTGGAAGAGCTGCCTGCGGAGGACCGCCCAGATTGGACGCTCGAAGCCGAGCTGCTGCGTGCGGGTGAGACGTCCCGGCTGGACGAGGCCGCGATATCCCAGCCGCTCTGCACGGCCGTGCAAGTCATGCTGGTCGATGTCCTTGCGGAAGCCGGCGTCTCCTTCAGCGCCGTTGTCGGACACTCCTCGAGCGAGATAGGCGCGGCGTACGCCGCCGGTTGGCTGAGCGCACGCGACGCCATCATCATCGCCTACTACCGCGGGCTGCACAGCAGCAAGGCCAAGAGCCCCAACGGGGACATGCAAGGCGCTATAATGGCCGTGGGCATGCCCATGGGGGACGTATTGGAACTGTGCGAGGACGCAGACTTTGCCGGCAGGCTGGCCGTGGCGGCGTGCAACTCTTCCTCCAGCGTCACCATCTCCGGCGATGTGGACGCCATACACGAGTTGCAGCTCGTCCTGGATGACGAACGCACGTTCAACCGCGTGCTCAAGGTGGACAAGGCCTACCACTCCAGACACATGCTTCCCTGCGCCGA